AGACAAGTCACAAAGGAGGTCACACGGGCTGCCCTGATGTTCACACGGCCGTGTGAAGTAATGGCCTGGCCGTGCATGTTTTGCCGAGAGCACACACGGGCAGAGCAGAAGATCGACATGGCCGTGCAAGTGGCCGGGTTGGCCGTGCCACATTCTGCGAGAGCAAACACGGGCAAGAGGGGATGTCCGCACGGCCGTGCCATTCTGGCCGTGCAAAGAGCCTGGAATTCAAACTAAATGAAACGATGCGTTTTGACTCACACGGGCAACTGGGTGAGCTGCACGGCCGTGCCACCCTGGCCGTGTGAGTCGGGATTTTCTCCTTTTAAGCAGAATTTCAGCCACAATTCGGGAGGATTCGAGTTTTGGAGAGAGAGATCAGTTCCTAGAGAGAGAAAGTGACGAGCAAGAGTTTCCAAGTGCCCTAGATTGATCTTCAACACCATTGGAGGCCAGCTTGAGCTTGGAGAAGTGCCAATCAACGTCCAGAAGCAGGAATCCATCCTTCGCAGTATGAATTCCGTGTCTGATTCTGCTTTTGCTTTCTTCTCCATGGAGTAGTTCTCCCATTCATCTGGGTATGGAGAACCCTAGATTTGTATGTTAGGCTTTGATTGTATGAACCCAAGTACTGATTCTGTGATTGATTATATTCGATTGAGGTTTTAATGTTTGAATGACTTGAATCCTGATCAAATTCCTGTTGTTTCTGCTTTAACCTAGAATGAGAATATCTGACTAGGTTAATAGAGTATCCTTGATTGAAGGTAGAGAGTTGGTGACTTTAGTCGAGGAGCCAACTCACTATTCTGTACCGGATTTACTCCGGTAGTGGAGGTTTTGTTCTTAGGGCCTCAATCTGTCGACTCCGGTGGAGGTTAGTCGCCCGCTAGAGAGTCAGATTGAGAGGGTCTGAAGACCTTTAGTCGAGACTTCAGGCTGTTTAAGAACCTTCCGCAGTATAACTGTCATAGAAACTGAACTTGGTAATTACAATCCGGCTTAACTGCAGTCTAGGGGGAACCATATCCGGGTGACCTCTTTAACCTGAATACAACCGTTTACTTGCTTTGTTAGTTTGTTAGTTTAGACTTGCATTCCAGTTTCATTGCTAGATAACAAGAATTCACTGAGTAGTCATCACATCTAGGACCCGGGTTGATAATTAAACCCAAACCCGCTATACTACGCTTTAGGAAGTGGTTTCACTTGGCCAATTCATGGAGTGACAGTAGAGTCGAGTCACACGCCCCTTTCCTTTCACGGCTTCAGGTTCGGGAGCCTGTGATTGGCCAGCAGCATCCTTAGCCGCTTTCGATGTATCCCCCTTCGAGGCTTGGGTGCCCCTCGACCGACCTTTTTTCAAGCTGGGCGCCACCTTGGCTGCCATCCCCATCTTCGCAAATTGGCTCTTCATCAGAGTGGCCATGGAGGTGAAGTCCTCACCTACACAAAAACGCATAGCAACAAAGGCGCTAGTAAAGTTCAGTGGAAAAAAAAAGTTCAAACGGGTGATAGGCGCCCACCATCGCGGTAGTACTCGTGTAGAACAGGCGTTCTAGACGTGGTAGAGCTTAAATCCACGGGGTGCAATGATAGAAGGCGTGCGCTCTCAATTTCCTCGTCCGTGGTCAAGGGCGCCTCAACGTTAAACGCTTCTGCGTCGCCAACTGCCCAACCTCGGGTGAATGAACGTCCACTTTCGTAAAAGGACTCTTTACGCGGCTTAATGAAGAAGAAGGCTCTAAACCATTCCTGACCTAACTTTGGAGAATCCGATAGGAAATGCCCGGGAATGTCAATGCGCCTTTGTAGAGACAAGCAGTTATCGCTATGCGCCATGGTAAAGAAGTGGTGAAAAAGTGTGAAGGTGGGTACAACATTATGCTGCCGACACTTCAACTTGAAGAGGATGTGGATAAGGAAAACAGAAGGGGATAGGCGTCCAAGTGAGCATTGACATAGTTCTAATATGCCTTCTAGGATTGAATCTAACGGAAATCGCAAGCCGAAACAAAAATATTCCCGGTAGATTCCAAGCCAACGGGGGCCGACCACCCTGATCCTTGCCACGCGCGGCGCAGGCGCAAAAGACCAGGCGCGTGGAAGTTGCATAGACACGGCCAAGTTCTCCAACTCGAGCGCCTTTATGGTCGACACGTGCAACGGCGCGGCCTCTGCAACGGTCAAGTGGCATGTCTCAAAGGGAGCTTCCCCTTCTGGCCACGTGTCGGCCCAATTTATTATTTTCACAGACTCATCATCCGCGGCGCCTGAGTCGGTCGATAGGGGGGACGCCTCCAACTCGGACGATTGAGGAGATCCAGGCGCATGGCCTATAACGTTGACGCAAACGGGGCAGGGTCAATTCGACTATCCTAGATAACTATGGGCGCCTAGTATTAAAAAAAAGGCCGGAATAGTTGAAGGGGCAAAACTCACTTGTATTTGGCTTGCTGGGCGCCGTGTTTGGCTTGTTGGGCGCCGCCCCCACTGATGATCCAGTTTCAATGGCTGGCCCGCGAGAACTGCTGGGCGCCACCACTGAAGAAGAACCGCCGTCTTTGGCGGGCGCCTCTTTGCTACCACGAGGCGTCCACCCAGCCGATTCTCGATTGGGATCGGGGGGAGAAGTGCTTCTCCAACAGCTTAATCACATCAGGCGCCTGACCATCGTGCGGAGGCGCATCTCCGGAAGGGGCGCCTGGGCTAGTTCGCTTCGACATAGTCGTCGTTTTGGGATTTTTGAGAGGAAGGCGCCTGGCCGATATAGAGAGAAGTTTAGAGAGAGAAAGGGTGAGAGCGAATGGACAAGGGAGGGGGCGGGCAACTGCTTTTATAGGAAGAGGAATCCCAACGGTCTTATCTAGGGATGCGCGCCATCAAGTCCCTTCATCCTCACCGTCTGTTCAAAATTCAAAATTTGAATTTTGACTTTCCAAAATTATTGAAAACCCAAAATTCGAATTTTGAAGTTAGAAAGCGCACGGCGAGGGGGCAGATATAGGCGCTTGGATATAGGCCTATTCATGACCGTGCAAAAACACCTCAATTTTTGTCTACAAGGCGCCTAGATATTGAGATAAGTAATGCGCCTATGCAACAAGAAATGGGCGTTGCGAATTCGAGCCGGATACGAAGGATGGTTGGTTGAGGGCGGCCAAGTGTGGAGTGAGACTAGGCGCCTGCTGAGCTAAGAGGGACGGTAACTTTCGTCAAAACAACAACTCATGTGATATATAGTTAGGCGCCCATTGTCAACCATGAGCGCCTAACTGGGTCACAATTGTTGGATAAGTATGAATGAACCCATGGGGGACATGGCCTCAAGAAACTTGGTTGGGCCTACGCCCAATTGAGGGCATGAATGACAAAGTAGGAGTTGGGCCCAAATGCGGAGGAGCGGGCGCGTAACGACAAAGAAGACGCGTGGACCATGCTACTACGGGACCAAGAGGCTGAGAGCGTGCCACCTGGAAGTGTGGTCCTGCCAGGCGCCTGGGCGCCAAGGTACGGGAGCTGCCACGTGTAGGTGCCCGACCGTTGGGCCGTACCATGCATTTAATGACGCGCTGACGTGGAGCTGGAATCCAGGAGCCTGGTCGGAACCTCGACGAGTATAAATAGTACTCGGTAGGTAGCATTAACGCAGGTTGGCTTCTCTCACTAAAAACTCTTAGATTACTTATCTCTCTAAAAGCAGGATCTGGTTTAAGCGTCGGAGTGCTAATGGGCGATTCCAAGCCCACTAGGCGTTTGCCTGTGCAGGATCTGTGCGTCTGACAGCAAGTGCTTCTCGTTAAGGAGGAGAAACAAGGTTCGGAGGATCGGGGCTTCAACAGATTGGATTAGGTAGATATTTTTAATGGGTTGATGAATTGAATTGAGAATTGTCACCTCTAGTCGCCGGACAGGTACCCGTCTTCCTCCCCTACTGGCTTATGACCTCCTCGACGATCAGCTTAATGTCTGCAAATCAGAATTACTCAGCCCAGCAAAACCCAAACCAAATCTTACTACACCCAGTAACCGAAAAGGCAAAAACTCTCGCAACGCAACAGAGATCCTCAATGGAAATACACAGATAAGTTGAATTAAAATATCATAAGCGGAATTTGATAGTCCAGACGTGGGCGAGGTTCAAGTCGGCAAGGCCGGGTCGTCAGCGGTGGCGGAGGAAGAAGGGACAGGTGGCGTCGGAAGGGTGCTTCACGGTGTACTTGGTGGGGAGAAGCAGAGATTTTTTTGGTGAAAACAGAGTACTCGAGCCACCCCCTATTATGGGTCTTGCTGGAGGAGGTGGAGTCAGAGTTCGGGTATAGCCCGGAAGGCCCGCTACCGCTGCCGTGCGAGGTGGCGTGCATCTGGAAGGTGCTTGTGGCGATGGACTCGAAGGATGAGAGGAGGCAGGGGAACGGGAAGAAGAGCTGCCTCACAGGACCACCGAATTTCGTACCTCGGGCAGGTTAACGGGAGTGGGGAGACGCGGTCGGGTACCCGGTCCCACGACCAGGCGACCGCTGCCGGGGAATTTATTTCTATGTTTTTTTTTTTTTAATTTATTGTGATGATGAGGTGGAATTTTAAAAGATTAATTTTTATTACTATTTCAAAATGTCAAGTCATTTATTTAACGGTCAACTTTTAGAGTCGATTGCCACGTCAGTTAAAGTTAACGGAGAGTGACCAAACTTGAACTTTTGAACTAGGTTGAGTAACTACGATGAAATAAATTAATTTTAGTGACAAACATGAACTTGTTAAGTAATTCTAGTGACCGAACTTGCAATTTACCCCTTTCTCTTTACTTTTTGCATTGTATTATTATTATTTATAACTCCATACTAGACTTTCATTATTGGGCACTAAAGGCCATTATTAGACTTTAATTAAAGTTTGTAATTCACTGATAAACGTGAGTGGAGAAGGGAGGGAAAACCCTAGCGAGTGACTCCGATGACCGTCCTGGGGTCACGGACTACCCCCCACCCTCGGGATGTCGAAACCCCCTGATCATGTACCAGGATCCCGCTGTGGCCCGATTGGAACGTCGTCACCGTCTGGGAAAGGCAAGAGGAAAGAGACACAACAAGACAAGAAACGGCTAAATCCGATGTGTGCCAACCCGTAATTTGATGCCCAACCGGAGTAGCAGGACCATTCCAATGAGAAGTTGATGACTGAAGCATCGGGCTTGGGAAGAGAGGGAGAAAAACCTATTGAAATACCATCATCAGCGTGGAACGCGGGTACGAGAAAATTTTCGATGATTTACGTATGCATGAGGAGTACTATTTTGTAGAATCCAACTCGGAGGATGTAGCTGAGGCAATGCGAGAGGATGACCTGGACGATGAAATTACAGAGGATGATGATCCAACATGCCCTACTATTCCATTCAAAGCAATGGAGAAGCAACGTTGGAGACGACAATAACGATCTGCGCTTTTGTGAAGGTGTTGGGACAGACCTATCCATTCCCGGTGATATCGAGAAGACTGGAAAGCCTAAGGGAAAAATGCGGGATATTGAAAATATCCAGCCTCTCATTGGGATACTATGTGGTGAAGTTTACATCGGAATTTGACTATGAGCAGGCGACGGCAGGAGGCCCTTGGATGCTGGGGAATCATTACATTACCGTACGTCCCTGGCAGAAGAATTTTGATCCGAAGGATGCAGAAGTGACTACCACAATGGTGTGGGCTCGGATGCCTGGTCTACCGATTGAGTTTATCAATCGTGAGTGCTGCAAAATTGCCTCGAGAATTGGCAAACCGATCAGGGTGGACAGGGTTACCCAAACAAGCGAAAGAGGGCGGTTTGCAAGGGTTGGTGTGGAGGTGAACCTCAAGAAACCGCTATTGTCTAATTATAATATCGAGGGCAAGACCTACTACGTAGAATTTGAAGGTCCGCACCTTATATGCTCTGAATGCAGGCGTTATGGACGTGTTAAGAAAGGCTTCATGTCGACAAATCCACCCAAGAGGCAACCTACTCCACCCATGGAGTATGACAAGAAAGTACAGGAAGTAGGAGAACCTACATATGGGAATGGATGGTGGCAAAACCTCGAAACATGAGGAATCAAGCAAGGAATAAGGAATCCAATGGGTCACAAGCGCAACAATCAAATCCCTCGTTTGAGGGATCACGGTTCAGAAACTTGGCAGATCATGATACTGCTAGTGAGGAGGATGTGGATGAGGAGATAATGATGGAGGAACTGATGAGGAGGCAGCAGATGGAAAATGTGGGTGATGATGAAGTGACAACCAGTGCGCAAGAAAGGAACAATATATAGGTTGTGATGGCGGACAAGGAACAGTCGAAGGGTGTCACAAATGAGAAACATGTTTAGCAGAGTGTAGCGGATACGAGTAACCTAGTGAAACAAACGGAACAAACACCTGGTAATGAGGTAACAAGTGAGCAGAATATTGAGTCTCAGAGTGAGGGTGGCAAGCATGGGGAGCTAAGTGCGGTCCATGTCACAGTACACATAAAAACAGGGTAGGGTTCATTACAAGGGAAGACAAAAGTACAAGGTAAAGGTGGGAAGCAGAAATTTGAGGGAGCCTCCAAGGGAAACCTAGTAGGGGTCGGATTAGGTACAAACCAGAAAAAAGAATTGGCTCGAGATGGGAATCACAATAAGCAAACAGAGAAGGGGAAGGTAGCAAGTGCAAACAGGAAGTCAAAAGCTGATGGTGCGGGGAACCTATCCCCTCAAAAGATGATGGAAGTCGGGGACAGATAGGTGTGTCGTAGGTGTAATTAGATGGAGCTAAGCGGTCAATATCAAGATGAGAAATTAACATCATCTACAAACACAATATTCTCTAGCAATCTTTTCAATATTTCAATAACTTCTTGAGCATTGAGCTATAATTCGACGAACTTGTGAGTTATTTTCTTATTGTTAAGTGTTAAATAAATTATTGATCATTTGAACTAAAGCAATAGTATCATAGAACAACTACTTAATTCATTATTTAGTACTAAATTATATATTTGCTTCTAGCTCCTAGACATGCTTAAGTGACACCTAAGCAAGCTAGGCCACCTATGTGTGCCTATGCGCTAGGGAAGATACTAATGTTCGTCTTACGCCTAACGTCATCTTGAACATTGGGTTTATGTCAAGATATTCTCATCACCCTCATGAAATAATTAAGGGGAAAACCCCGAACTTCCTATAATTTGTACAATTTGAGCTCCATCCGAGGATTATGAGTAAGTTATGCACGCCTTCAAGAATTTAGGTGTGTAACTCAAATTTGTGTTCTTTTATTTTTCAAAAAAATTATTGATCATTTCAATATGTTATATATCACATTATTTTAAGTGTCTACCAATTCATAAACACAGAAAAGGCAACAAAAACTTAAGGCTGCCCTTAACTTTTAGAATTAAACATCAATCACTTTTCTATTGTCTTATAATCCTTTTTTACCTTAATTACTAAATCATTAACTCTCAATGTTAAAATCAAAAGAACGCACCCCATATATATCCCAACTCTATAAATAACAGAATAGTTAAAACTCTATCAATTTTATGAACCCATTTAAAATTGAGATTATAAACACTACATTTTAACCGACAAAAAAGCAATTAAAAAAGAAATAGGGTCTTTTAGTCAAGAACTACACTAAATCACACATAAAATAAATAAAAATTAAAAAAGAAAAGAAATAATGCAACACTACTCTCGCAGACTCACGCTATGGGCAAAATGGCAGAAAGAATAACCAACCAATATTCTTCCAAGAAAAAAAAAAGATTTGTATGAATAACTCTTGTTCTCTATTGATATCACTCAGAAATAGAAAAAAAATTCTACCAAGAAAAAAAAAAAAAGATTAACCAAGCAGAATACGTGGGTTTTCTTAAGCGGGTATGGAATAAAAAAAATGAAAAATAAAAGAATATAATTACTATTCTATCCTTACCAAAAATTAAGGAGAAGTCAGCAATTTTGAAATGGAGAGAAGTTTGTAAGACTCTGCTATATTATAATGGAGGAGATAGTTTGATCAAATGTGATACCTTTTGTAACTGAAGTTTATTATAGGGCTAACACCACTAGGAAACCCGAACTATCAAGAATGTGTAATTTGTGTCCTAAAGTATCCAATATGACATTTGTGTCATAAACTATTTTTCCGTTAGAGTTGACTGGCGTTAACCGTTAATTTTCAACAGAAACTTTAGTCAGTGCTGATGTGGCATCTGACGTGGAATTTATAATATCAATTTATAATTATTTTCCATATAAATGAATAAACTAAAACAAAAAAATACAAAAAAGCATTTTCAGTCACGGGAACTTTTAATTACGGGTATACACCCATAATCAAAAGTGAATTATAAACGACAGGAAGATAATATTGTGACTCTTGATTATTAAATGATACTCGGGATAGCTTCCCGTGATTATTTTATGTGTGGGCGGGAAATGAAACAAAAATTCCAATTGCCGCTCTCCTTGGAATTTTGGCTATTGAAAATTTTCAAGTGCCCGCCCAAACTTTTGGTCTTTGCTTTTAGTTTTTCTTTTGTATAGAGAAAAGCGCTCCACCCTACTACTTTTTCCTAAAACCGATCTTCCTTCTCAGTCTCTCTCTCTCTCTCTCTCTCTCTCTCTCTCTCTCTCTCTCTCTCTCTCTCTCTCTCTCTCAATCTCAGTCTCTCTCTCTCTCTCTCGACGGGGCTTTAGTACCGGCAGCAGCGATTCAGACCACTCATCGGCACTGTTAAGTGAGTCCTAAACTGATTTGGTTAATTGCATGTTTAGATCTATTGACTTATTTGTTCGTTTTGGTTTGCTTAATAATGATACAAGTTTTGTTCTGGGTTTTTTCAGGTTCTGGTCGCGAGGACATGGAGGAAAGAAAGATAAAAAGGGAGCTGCAGTTACTCAATTTTGAAGACGATGAGATGACCCTGGAACCGACTATTAGGGACAATACTTTGTCCGTATAATGTTAGGATTTGTACTCATTATTCCTCTCGTAATTAGTCTCCTACTCACACTTATAAACTGTAATCTTATGGGTATAAATATACCCTTGCATCAATGATAATTCTCACGGTTGATAACCTTACATGGTATCAGAGCCTCTTGCCTAACAGCATCTTTGAGCCCTAACCCTAATCTCACCGTCGATCCCTGTCTATTCATGCCGCCACCATGTCCACCGGATCTGTTACCTCCGGTAGTACGCCGGCATCTTCTGGAGCGAAGCCAGCGCTAGTTACTTTCAACCCAACGGCCTACCTTCCTCTCAAGCTCACCGCAGCGAACTTCCCATCCTGGAGAGCACAAATCCTCTCCCTTCTCCATCGCCTCGATCTCATAGGCTATGTCGACAGTACTGTTGTACCTCCTGCTGAGACCGCTCTTGAGAATGGAGCTTCAAGTCAGAACACGGCCTACACTCACTGGTTTCGTCAAGATCAGCTCCTTCTCAACGGGATTTTTGCTTCGGTCTCCGAAGCCGTTTTACCGTTCATAAGTTCTTCCTTTACTGCTGCCGAGGGATGGGCCTCCCTACTTCGCATGTATGCCACCAACTCTCGGTCTCGCGTCATGACGTTACGCGATTGACTGCTTGCTGAGAAGAAAGGCGATCGCTCGGTTACTACCTTTGTTCAATCCCTTCGTACTACTGCTTCTGAGATGGCTCTTGTTGGTTCTCCCGTCGCTAATGACGAGCTGGTCACAGTCCTTCTTCGTGGCCTCGGTGATGATTATGCCAAGTTCTCTGCCGGCATTCGAGCACGTGCAAACCCGCCAACCCTTGAAGACCTCTTCGATCGTCTGCTGTCTCTGGAAGCTGATCTTACTGCTCGTCGCCGTGATCAGCCTGTCACCGCCTTCTATACTCAACGCGGACGGTCGCCGTGGTGGTGCATCTGGTCGTGGCTCTGGCCGCTCCTCTACTCCTGGCGGTGGTTCTCACTCACCTGGCGCTTCCACTCTCTCAGATTCGTGGTCTCCTTCACCGGCTGACTCTACTGGAACACCGCGTTGTGGCCGCATCTACTGCCAATACTGCGAGAAGCCTGGTCACTCTGTACGTCAATGCTTCCAGCTATTTCCCCAACAACGACCAGCTCAAGCCAATCACACCGCGGGCTCTTCCTCTCAACCAGCACCCTCTCGTCCTGAACCCTGGCTAATGGACTCCGAAGCCACCCATCATATTACACTTGACCTCGGTAATCTTGCTATCTATTCGGATTACAACGGCCTGGATGAAGTTTATCTTGGCGATGGTTCAGGTTTGCGTATCACCCATATTGGTTCTTTTAGTCTCTCTACGTCCAGTCCTCTTAAACTTACTAACATCCTCTGTGTTCCTGACATTAAGAAGCGCTTAATATCAGTTGCCAAACTATGTCGTACTAATCCTGTTTCGGTTGAATTTTTTGCCAACTCTTTTGTTGTGAATGATCTAAACACGGAGGCGTCGCTCCTGACCAGAAGGAATAAAGGGGACACATATGAGCTGTCGGGAGCATCGCAAGTGGTTTGACTGCACTGGTCACTACTCGGACATCCGTAGATTGTTGGCATCGTCGTTTTGGTCATCCTTCTTTTAAGTCTTTATGTCGTCTATTTCGAACTAATTCCATACATGTTGCTTCGAAGTCGTCTATTTCTCCATGTATGTCTTGTTTATCCAATAAAAGTCATAAGCTTCCCTTTTCCGATTCCAATCTGTCTAGCACACGTCCTCTTGACTTACTCTTCTCTGATGTCTGGGGCCCTGCTCCTATTCCTTCTGTTGATGGTTTGTTGTACTATATAGTTTTTGTTGATCATTTCACTAGGTATACCTGGATATACCCTCTCTGTCGTAAGTCTGATGTCTTAACCACTTTCACCGCCTTCAAAGCCCTTGTTGAAAACTACTTTTCCACTCGTATCCGCCGTCTCTACACCGATGGCGGCGGTGAATTTCAAAAACTCAAATCCACTTTGATTTCCAGCGACATCACTAATCTTCTCACCCCACCATACACTCCTGAACACAACGGTGTTTCCGAACGAAAACATCGACACATCGTTGAAACTGGTTTGGCTCTTCTTCATCAGGCTAAACTCCCACTCTCCTACTGGTCATATGCCTTTTCCACAGCAGTTTACCTCATTAACCATTTACCCTCTTCCGCTCTTCGTAATCGTGTTCCATTTACTGCCCTGTTCAACGAAACTCCAAACTACAACAAACTTCGTGTGTTCGGTTGCTTATGTTTTCCTTGGCTCCGCCCCTACAGTCCGCATAAGCTTCATACTCGTTCCCGCCCTTGTGTCTTTCTTGGCTATTCCCATCAACAGAGTGCCTATAGGTGCCTTGATCCTGAAAGTCGTCGCCTCTTTCTCTCCCTCCATGTTGTTTTTGTCGAGTCAGAATTTCCCGGTATCTTGTCGTCCTCGTGTAGTCCTCGGGAGGTCGAGTCTCCATCCTGGCTCGCCTCCACTATTCCTACCATCATTGTCTTGCCTACTACCACCGCCTTGCCACCACCTTTTCCTCCGACGCCGCAAAGTCCTCCCTCTCCGGTCACACACGCGACGCCCCAGGGTTCAGATTCTTCCTCAGCGGCACCAACCCCACCAGCTCCGCATCCTATGGTAACTCATGCTCGCAACCATATTTATAAACCCAATCCCAAATATTTTGTTGCTCCTGCTTCTTCACTGGCTACTCTCATGCTCCTTCCCCGCACGGTCAAGGATGCTCTTCGTTCACCATAGTGGAACCGAGCTATGCAGGATGAGTTCGGTGCTCTGCGCTCTAACCATACGTGGGATCTTGTTCCCCGTCAGCCCCACTTCAATGTCATTGGAGATCGTTGGATTTACCGTGTCAAACAGCTGCCTAATGGTTCCATCGAGCAATTCAAAGCTCGCTTAGTCGCTAAAGGCTTCCATCAACG